TTAATGCAACTTGCATGCACAGATTGGTTTGAAAAAGAACTCTTAGAAAATAATTATTAAGAAAAGGAATTTATGTACCTTGTCCAAGAATATATTGTGTTACATAATGATAACAACAGACACCAGCCAGTGTAGATAACTTGTAGTATTCAGAGAAAGATTTAAAAAATTCCAAAAGAGAGAGAACTTTGAGCATTTCATCCAAAAATTGAGATTCTGGAAGACAGACGTTGAGAGAATTTTTTCTGAAATTTAACAAGATTTAAGACAAAAAGGCAGGGGAGGGCATGGCCCTTCTAGCCCTACTCTAAAATTAATAATGTACCCGTGGTATTCGAGTTTGTGTACCTGGTTTCTTTATCCAGCTGCTGACAACCGTCTATCACTTTGACAAAACAACCAATGTCATGTAAATCTCTGACAAATGAAAAACAATAAGAAATTTGTCAGTTTCTAGGGTTATAGTATTATACAGCTATACAGAGATAGCAATCACCAGCATCCCTGATTTCATAACAAACTGCTATAGGGATTCACATCATGAAAAATCTTTCACAGTCCAGAATCAGTGAATCCAAATCCAAAGTCGATTTTATCAATTTTATTGGATCATTGGTGTGTAAATGCTTCTGAATATTCCTTCCAATATTACCCCTGGACCATTTAATTTTTGTTCTAGGGGGTGAATGGGTTACATGTAAAAGAGCCAAAAAAAATGTGGAATTATGAACTTAATGCTGCAGTGATTTTGTTACCCCTGCCTGTGCATCCTGTGCCCCTGATGCATCAAATCTCCAAAGATGCAAAATAATTTACTGCCTGCCGGCATCCTGTAGGATCGACTGAGGGACCAGAAGATGATTTTGAAAAAGAAAATCCTGTTTATGACTTCTAATCTGTAATAAAACCTACCTTGCCAATAAGTCATAGAGAGTAGACTTTTTTTAAAAGGTAGGAGTGAATGGGTTAAAATCATTGACTTAAAAGGTCAAAATTCCATTGAATACATAATCAGACTTTGGCTAAAAAATAATCTGAACACACCTTTGGGCATCTAATCGTAGGTCAGCTGAAATACTAAACCATATATGTCTGGATCTTCCATGTGCAAAATTGTCCAACACAATGCCAGCAATCTACAGTAGAAAACAACTGGAGTGTAATCTTGACTACAAATTTAATGGACTTAAAGTCAAACAGTTCTATATTCAAGGTTTGTACAACTTCAGACAAACAAATTTCTAGGACATTTCAAGAATTTTTCAAGGACAAATTACAGTTTTCAAGGACTACGATATTTCTGTTAAATCGTAGGTATTCTTTAACCCCCTTTGATCACCCTATTGGCTAAAACATGTCATGGAGTCATTTACGATTTTGACTTCTTCAGCCATATCATTGATCACATTATTTTATACTCCTTTCCATAATAAGACTTTGCAAAATGAATGGGTATGACATGCAATTGCATCTGAGGTGCAGAAATAGCATAGTTACCCGTGAATTTTACAGGTTAATTCTTACACCAAGGATGAGCCGAATTTTCCTCGGCAAAAATTAATCTAATTTTACAGAAAAAGGTGTCTGGCGTAGACAAGGTTGTGAATTTCAAGGACTTTTTATGACCTAATAAAGAAATCAAGTACTTTTCAAAGACCTAAACCAAATTCAAGGACTTTTCAAGATGACAGTTAGTAGTAGAATTAAGACCTTTTCAAGGTTGTACGATCAACCATGTATGTTCTTTTGCACGCCCGTACCAACTGTCACACCCTACCAACTGATCAAAGATTAATAAAATGCCATAGCAACTCCAAATCTTGAGTGGTTTCACATGGTTTGGAGGCAATGGAAAACACAAGTGATATCACATGGTTTTAAAATGAAAACAAGGCAAGTGCTTTTGCAAGCATGAAAATGAGGTAAATTTGCACCTCAGTGAAAATGGCCAACGTTCTTGATTTTTGTCTAAATAAACAAAGTAACAGATCATCGACTTAACAGCATGAAATTGTTCAAAAACAAAATGTACTCACTTGTCTTCCTTTTCCAACCCCAGCACCATCCCCTATAAAGAATCCAGCTCTCTGTCCATTGGCAAGGACCATCTGATGTCTTTGACACTAAAACTCAACAGCAGTTTATAAAATGAATTTTCATGCTGTTTAAAGTGATTTTATTACTAAAGACCATGATTGTGCAATAACACACTCTCTGCTACCACATATCCACAGCAGCTGGACGGGCCTTTTTTGTAATGAATTTATTTTTAGCTGGAAATCCATCTTTTCCCAAATATTTTAAATGCTTTATGTGGACAGAAGAAAGAGCAATACAAAAGCCGACAAATTGTTGACAGAGTTCTTGATATTAATAAAGTGTATGTGATATTAACAATTATACTTACAGCATACAAAACTCCTTCCAGTTGCAAATCACTTAGTTTGCCTGATGTGAACACAAAAAAATTGGCTTATCAACTTTTCCCTTTATCAATATTATTACAAAATTATCACCTAAAATATGATCAAACCCCTCCATACAAACACCTCTATAAGGTCTCTTCATCCTAAATCCTCGTGCAAACGGATGCAACATTGTTGGCCAACAGCTCCCTACATTGTTGAATGTTACATGTTGTGTCCATTGGCCCACCCTGTTGCATGTTGTTGCAATGTTGTTGCGATGTTGTTGGGAGTTGTTGCACAAAGTTTGAAACTGGTCAAACTTTTAGACATGTGCAAATGGACACAACAACTCTCAACATTGTTGGGCCAACAATGTTGAGAGTTGTTATGTCCATTTGCACATAGTTTAAAGACATCTAACTTTATACATATTACTTTACCTCAATAATAAAGCAGACACTTGGTTCTGTCCCTTTGGTATCTGATTAAAGGAGGGGAGAGGGGGGGGGGGAAGCTGCTATAAGTAATGCCTAACTATAATTTCATTTTAAACCCTTTTTTTTTTTTTCAAGAAGTAACCAAAGTGTCGAATTCAACAAAAATTTCAAATTAAATTTTTGAAGAGTTTTTATATGTAAATGTGGAAAAAAAACATTAGTGTGGTATCATTGTGAAAGTACAGTTGAAGAGGTCTCATTTGAATGGTCGCACATGTTTTTCATCAATATCATCACTTTTTTGCCAGGGTCTCAATGGTCTTGTGGGTTCTTCTGATTCTTGAATTTAAAATGGTTTCCTACTTCTTATTGGCATCATGATTCACCGGTCTCCTGTTTCTGTGGTTCTTGTAGTCCTCAGAGGCTGGTTCATGTACTTGTGGAGGATCACAAAACCCAGGAGAACTACATGTACAAGAACCAGGATAACAGGAAGAGCCATGAGAAATGCCAACCATGAGAATCAGGAAAACCAGGCAAAACAGAGAGCCACAGAGCAAAGGAAACTAAGAGAACTTGAGAGCCACAACTACCAGAGACTCGAAGAAGCAAGAGAATCAGAACCAGAATGTTGGTCAAAGTAAATACAGTATGTCAATTATCATCACCTGTCTCTACTAAATCTTGTGGAAGCGATTTAAACAACTGGTATTTAGCTCGTGGTAGCTGCTGTGCCTAGAAAAGAGAGGGGACATACATTAAGTCAGTAGCCATTTTATTGTGCCTTTACTTTAAAAAGATAATCATCAGTAAAACCTGCAAAATGAAACAACCTTTTTAAAAACAAAAATATCAATAGCGCAGACAGTTGAACACTGTGAGAATAAACTGTTCTCAGATAAAATGGAATATATTATCTTTGTCCCCTACAAATAATTGAGAAAAGCTTGATATCACTTTAACATGGTAACAAGATTTCTGGATCTCAACAGTCCTCCTTTCAAGACAGAAATGGCCATTTCATGATTTGTATTGTTGAATGATGAAAGAAAAGTCCTAAGTGCAATCATAGGAAAGTCAAACAGTCATAGTCATAGGAAACAAAGAAAATTCTGACTCAAACAAGGTCTTATGCTTGTTTTACCACACTAGGGACAAATTTGGTTTGATTTTCAAGCCATTTCAAAAAACATGTAGTATACATACTTACCGCCAAGCAACCAGCTTCTACAATATCCCCCGGATGATGTTTAATTCCTTTATGATTTAATGAGTTGCAAGCATAGCTTGAGAAGACATCTTCACTGTAAACAAAACAAGCATGGAAATTATTTAAACAGCTTCACGTGGTATGGCATATATTGTGCTACAAAAGTGAGTTAACAGTTGGTTTGGAGTAGCAGGCCTAAAAATACTTTTTTTCCTTTTAGAAAGGGCATAATTGTGTCCAACCAGGTCACCATTATTTTTAGCCAGGCAAACCAGAAAGGTTGTCAGACATCCACGGTGAACTCAATTGATGAAAAGATCAAAGCTGTTTCTCTTTCTCAATTTAAATCAAAATTAAAACAACATTATCTTTCACTGTACTAATATTGCCAATTAACTTGTACTTCGTAACTTCCATCCTTCTTTTTCGCTCTTCTTATGGTAATACGTGCTAGTGTATATGTGTATATCAGTGTGTTTGTGTGTATACAGTCTGATATGCTGCCATATTGTACCCCCGCACAATAAACTTATTTAAATTATCTTACTGAATCTGGCTTCTTGGCATTTTAAACTTATTAGTTATTTCAGGAAGTCAGTACCCCTTTTAGTTAATTGATTAATTTAACAACTTGAAAATAACTATAACATTCTGCTTTGGGTACAATAAAAATTGTTGTTGTTGTTGTTGTGAAACCAGTACAGTCAAACCCTGTTATTTTGGACACTGAGGGGGCCACAGAAAATGTCCATATTAGTGAGGTGTCCATAATAAGCAGGTTGAATTTAGAGAAAATGTGAGGGCTTTCTTAATAGATCTTGTCACGGTTTTTGACGCCATCTTGACAAGTAGGCAAACGCGTGAGAAATTAGAGTGTTTGTATGAGAATCCAATGTCGAATGATTTCTGTAAAACGGCTATTCTGGAAAAAATATAAATTGTAAACTAAAGTTACACAGCAGAGGATTTTACTAACAAATTTTGGGAGCCGTTACTGTGCTTAAATTTCTCCAGAAGCTTGCTTTAGATTTTCCATATATTTGTCTGCAATTTTTCCCAGGAAATTTTTACAGACAAATGTATAGTAAATTTGAAAAAAAGGTTCTAGGTCTTCTAGTGCATGTAACACCCTCAAATTTTTTCAGTAGAATCCTTAAGAGTGAAGCTTTAGTTTACAAATCATATTTTTTTCAAAACAGTCGTTTTACGGAAATTATTCGACATTAGATTCTCATACAAACACTGTACTTTCTCATGCATTTGCCCACTCAGCTCGTCAAGATGGCATTGAAAACCGTGACTAGGTCTATTACCCCGTGGACAAAGCAAACTGTCCATATTAAGCGAGTGTCCATAAAGTGAGGTTTGATTATATTAGATGGACACCCTTGTGGAATGTTCTTCTGTCCATTTAATACAGGAAATACCCATAAAGAGGCTCAAGTATTAAGATGGAATCCACTGCTTAATTGAGTAATTTTAATTTAATTCTGAAAATTTCATGTGAAAGATGCAATTTTGTGAAATTTGGCATTTCATTTTCTTGGGCTTCAATAAGAAATTTTCTTTGGTATTATTACAGATGACTAATTACATCTTTAGCCCTTGAAAAATGTAAAAAAGAATGCAATATGCTTTAAATTATTCTGGTACAAGGTTTTTGTCCACTGAAAATCAAAATTATTCAATTTCCTGGTGGATTCTGTCTTAAGGTCAAATGAGTAAAATAAGTGGTTATACAAACAAAATGAAATGAGAAAACAGTACTGTACAACTAATCAACGGGTTAGTAAAGGCTGCTGGTATGCATTGCATGTTGATCATGATGCTGTGACTGTTAACAACAGACCAAGGAAGGATTTATTGCTTTATTCTTTTCTCCTTGATTTATTTGATTGATGTTTTGGGTAAAAACACCCTTCAGAAAAACCTGCCTTCTATTACTATTACCGAACCAATCAGAACATCTCTCAGGCCAGCCCCATAAAAACCCTCATCGATTGAGATTAGTGGGGGAGTGGGGGTGGATGGGGGAGTGTGGGGAACATAAAACGGTCAGTGTAAAACGCAGACTGCAAACTGCGGACCGGGGGTAAAATGCAGACTGCAGACTGAGAGTAAAACGCAAGCTGGGTGTAAAATGCAGAATAAAGACTGTAACCTTTTTTAAACATTTGTGCTCCTTCTTCTCCAAATCGGTGAAACAGGTAGCCGGTATCAGTTACACACTTCGCTTCCTAGTCGAAGTGTATTGCACATTCGCCTGAAGTTTCAATGAACATCTGAACAGATTAAGTCTGCGTACCTTGATTTGCAATACTTTCATAGAAGGTCATCCAAATTTCCTGCAGAACATCTTTATTTGTTGTTGAAATGATTTACTCCCTTTTTTATCGCCATAATTCTTCCTGTACAGTATTTTGGGTCGGCAGCTTTCATTTAAGCGTAAACATCGTGGTGTTGTATCAGTTCACGGTCCCTGGTCACGTATATCGAAAACTTCGCATCTAAAGTTGAAGCGTGAAGTCTCTCAGACAGGAAAGAGGTTCAAGATTGCGATTATGTTTTCGGGTCGTCAACGACGTTCCAGAGAAGAAAGGAATGGATTTTGTGAAAGCAGATGTCGTCAAGTAAGTGTTCGTTTACATATATTTGCGGGATTTTTTTGCCCTTAAACCCTTCCACGACTACAGTTATGCTCGGTCTGCATTTTACCCCAGCCTGCGTTTTACTCTTAGTCTGCAGTCTGCATTTTACACTCAGTCTGCATTCTAACCCCTGGTTCGCAGTCTGCAGTCTGCAGTCTGCGTTTCACACTGATCGAACATAAAATAGAAATAATGCATATGGCCACGTAATAAATCAAGCTAGGCTTGGGCTCGTGTGCATATACACCTTTTAAAATTTCAGTAAATTATCTAAGTTCCCTCCATTAATAACACAACTAAGCGAAACCTTGCTACATAAAAGAAAACTCAACCAAGAGTACAAACCTTCGACTTTCTGCCACAAAGCCGTGCGCCATCTTGTTGAGCTCCTCGTGTTCCTCGCTCGGGTTTTCAGTGCGATTAATTACAACCCGGCGTGGCGGAACAGGTGATTCTGGACTAGATAGAGCCATGGTTACCTTCTGATTATAGCAATTTAGAGGAAAAAGCCATCATTTTCGGTATTTTTACACTCAAATCCCTTTGTTGTGAATATTCTCTCGTTTCCCGCATTTTTGATTGTTACCGCCATACCTTGCGGGCGCAAATGAGCCTTGGCCCCAGATCGTCTGTGATCTGTGTCTGCGGTTTTCGATTCCACCCTTCTCCCTCAAAGGACGGGAAATTTGGGATAGCTGTAAGTACATTCAAGCAAGATTTCTAAAACCTGACGCACTCGAAGCCCTAAGCACCGCAAAGGTTTTGCTGCTCAAGAAGATATTTTTCGTACTGCATCAGTTCAAGTATGCCGTATCCTCTATTAAGCCCCCCTTTCAATCTCTAATAAGGCTCCTCCCTTTAATGAGCCCCCCCCCCTTTTCTGGGGAAGAAAGTTAATAAGTCCCCCCCTCTCCTTCCCTAACTATTCTTCACTAATAAATAATAGAATGTACAATCAATCTCCACCGTAAAACTTCGTGTGGACTGAGACAGAATGGTTCATTTACCAACTCTGGAAGTTCGGATTTGGTTCTGATCCTTATAAGGTGCATGACCTCCAACCTCCTTGTGCTTGAGCTTTTCCACTTTGTACTCTAGTTCTTTACGGAGAACTCATACCATCATCTTTTCTAAATTAAATAAGCCCCCCGTCTCTATTAAGCCCCCTCTCAAATGGGCTTGAAATTCCCTAGATCCTCATGGCCCCTCAGTCCCATCAACTCAACGAAAATATTTCTTCATTCGATCGTTGGCAGCTCATTTTTTTTTTTTTTCTTTGGCAAAAAAGCAAAAACACGCAATTCAAATAACGTAAGAGATGTTTTTATTGAGAATTAACTTCTGCTAATAACTTTCTTCCTTGAATCTATTACCGCCCCGGACGCATCTTCAATAGTTTCCTTTCATTTTGCAATATTGTACCACATGCAACAACCATACTACGCTTGGGCTGCCTGTCAGATCAGCTGGAGTTCCCTTTTTTTAGCGCGCGCGTGCGCGTGTGAGAGTTATGGCGGTGAGCTGCCAACTGTGCCGTCCCCAAGAGAGTTTTCCCATTGTTAATTCGCCTCTATTCAGCGGAAATCAAGCACTTGACAGACTAAGTTTGGCTTAATATGATTAAGTAAAACAGTCCGAGATAGAAGGTGGCAACCGATTGTGGACCAGTAATGCTGCCCCCGTCGCGCGTTTGATGTTTTTGCTAAAGATAATAATAAGTTATCAGTGACCCGGTTTATGACGAGCCTCTATGACCTCTATTGAGCGACCATTAAGATTAGTTGTGTATTTTTGTACGTTCAACAAATGCACAAAGAAGTCATGTAGTTATCATCGGTCAGTAGTTTATAAGAGGGCTGGGATGCACTTCGTTGAACTGAAAAATCTTCAAAAGCACAGAGCAATGGATGAAAAGTCATTTTACATTATTGATGACGTGTTTCTCGCCACTGCTTCTCATCCCGCAGAGTCGTTCATTGAAGTCGGAATTGAAGTCAGTTTGTCCTCTCTAGGACACTATTCCTACTTATGAGGCCAGGGCCCTGCATCCCTTTGTCATGTGCAGTCAAATTAAGAAATGGTAAACGTGCAGCGTTCAACCATGGGGTTATGGATGCACGCGGGAGGTTGCTTCTTGAGTGCTTAGCAAATTAAACCTCCCAAGTGCATCCATAACTCCATGGTTGCACAGCTGCAACGTTTACCATTTCTTTTATAACATAATCAAAAGAGAAAAACATTATTTTCCATTTGCCTTCGGTTGAGTCATTGGTACGAGTTCATGTATGCTGCCATCTGCCCGCGCGTAAACAATTCATGTTCTATGTTTTTCAAAAACTTGCCCTTGAGTTTTTCTTTCGCTGAATCAACTGTTCTCCGTCTTCAGGTAAACTGCACAACGTTTTTCGTTGTTTTTCTGAATGGCATCTGTCTACTTGCTCTTAATGTTAGGGTAAAAACTTCGAGGGAAAACTATAGCTGCAACTATAAACACCAACTAAAAAGACTCTAAAAAATAAGCTAAAACTAAATAAATGAAATCATTATCAAGCTTATTTATGTGACAATTTTTGAAATAAACGTAAGTAGAAATGAGAAAATTAGAATAACAGGTAACACTAATTTTAAAAAGAAATTAACTAGCTTTGTATCGAAATCTGTCTGAGGAAATCCAGCTATGAAAGTCAAAGTTCAGGGGCACCCATCGAGAGTATAGTTCAAAACCACTTAAACATAGCCTTGTTAAACGTCTTTTAGTATTTAAACGGTAGATATAGGCATATTTTTATCCCCTAAAAATTTTTCATCTGTTCGGATTTCCTAGCTGAAAGTCTGGTGATCCGAAAATTATAGGGATCAAAACTTACCTTTTCGAAAATTTCAGTGAGAAAAAAGGCTCCCGAAAATTCTAGGTCACCTTTAAAGGGTAAAAATCCGTTAAAAAAAGGGCAATTATACTATTTTTTAGATGTTGAAAATCCTAGGAGAGGAAGGCAAGCAAGAAATTTTACAACAAATGTTCCGAAAATTCTAGATCTCAAATCGTCTTCCGAACAGATATTTTTTGAAAATTGTCGTCGGGTGCCCCTGAAACTTGCAACTGAAATTCGCCGACACACAGCCGGCGCTGAAGCTGTTGTTTTTCGACCGTTCTATGAACGACTGTTATGAATGAACACTGAGGAACAAAATACTACACCCAGAAGTTATTTTTTGAAAAATTTATTTGAGAACCAAGATGTTTCTGTACTCAAATGAAATTCGCTTATTCCAGCGTAATGTGCCCGTTTAAACTCA